CTGAAAGCTTTGTCACATTCACTACATTGACAGGGTTTGTCTCCTACGTGATACCTTTGATGCTTTGTAAGAGATGAGCTCTGAATGAAGGCTTTTCCATATTCCTTACAAATACATAGTTTTTTTCCAGTGTGAATGCCCTGATGCCCAATGAAGGTGGGATGGTCACAGAAGTACTTTCCCCATTCACTACATTGCCACAGTTTCTCTTCTGCACAGAAGCCTGCTGAATAATCAGGTTGAAATTTGGTGTCAGGCTCCCTACATGTGTACAACATGTAGGGAGATATTTTTCTCCTGTAGGAATTCCCTATTGTCAAACAAGAACTGACTATAGACTGAAGCATCCCACAAAAGCACTGCATTTATAGGTAGGGATCTCCCTGAAATTGTTCTTTTTCAGTATGACTCCTTGTCCTGAATGTCTCTGTAAGTGGTCCTCACATCCCCAAATTTCATGTAACAGAGTCCCAGGTACTGTTTCCTGTTAGTCTTTCTATGGTTGTTCCCTAGAATGAATCTTCTTCAAAAATGTCCCACTGGGAAGTTGATCCCTTAGTCTCAGGTCTGGTTTCTCAATCTGAAAGCAATACAAAAGTGGCAGTTGGGCCAGGGACATGCCATGAGAAACAGTATCTGTAGGGCATACGTGCTGCCAACAATTTTCAGACTCATCTCTGTAGTTTATTTTTTACATTTTTTTAAATTTAAATTCAATTTGCTGGCAGATAGTATAGCACCCAGTGCTCATCCCATCCGGTGCCCTCTTCATTGCCTGTCACCCAGTCACCCCATCCCACCTCCTACCTTCCCTTCCACAACCCTTTGTTTCCCAAGGTTGGGAGTCTCTCATGGTTTGTCCCCCTCTCTGGCTTTTCCCACTCAGTTCCCCTCCTTTCTCTTATGATCTCTTCTACTATTTCTTGTATTTCACGTATGAGTGAGACCATGTGATGGTTGTCCTCCGATTGACTTATTTCACTTGGCATAGTGCCCTCCAGTTCCATCCATGTCAAAGCAACATTTCTGTAGTTTCAAAGGGGGATTAGAATAGAGAGGTGGACAAGCACGCAGATAAACAGATAATACAAGTTGTACATAAGAAAATCAGAGAGGGTGACAAAACATGAGAGACTTCTAACTCTGGGAAAAGAACAAGGGGTAGTGGAGGGGGAGGTTGGTGGGGGATGGGGTGACTGGGTGACAGGCACTGAGGGGGGCACCGGACGGGATGAGCACTGGGTGTTATACTGTATGTTGGCAGATCGAACTCCAATAAAAATATATACAAAAAAAGAAATGAAAAAAAATCGAATACCATTCCTTTACCCAGGTTTCTCTATTAATGTACAGAGGCATGCTAATTATTTTCTTATCATCCCCAATCCCTCTCTGGCCGTTTCTTCATTCTCTTTTCAAAGATTCTCAGCATTTTCTTTTTGTCTTAATTAGGCTGCAGGTGGTTTGGCAAGAAAACAACTACCTTGGTTTCTTAAGGAACCACGTCTTTATTTAGTCTGTATATTTTTACCTCTAGATTCATTGATCTCTTCCATCAGCTGGCTTTCATTAGGCTTATTTTGGTGTATCATTGTGTTTTCTCAATGAAAATGTAAATGCATACATACATAAATACCTACATAAATGGATGTCTAGATCCAAGATATTTACAAAATGTTTTTCGAACTTGCATTTAATTATCTCCAGCTTTTTGTCTGTGTATCCCCCATTTTCCAGCTTAAAATTACCACCTTCTCTGGCAGTTTAACACCTGCCTTCCACCCAGGGCGTGATCCTGGAGACCCGGGATCGAGTCCCGCATCGGGCTCCCTGCATGGAGCCTGCTTCTCCCTCTGCCTGTGTCTCTGCCTCTCTCTCTCTCTGTTCTCCTTCATGAATAAATAAATAAAATCTTTAAAAAAAATAAAATTACCACCTTCTCTCCCATGTCCTCCTCTCCTTTGGTAAAAAAAAAAAAAATTATTTATTTTAAAGACAGAGAGAGCAAGCGCAGGGGGAGGGCAAAGGAAAAGAGAGAGGGAGAGGGAATCTCAAACCAACTCCATGCGGTGGGTGTGGAGCCTGACGCGGGGCTCAGTCCCATGACCTGAAACCAAGAGTCAGATGTTAGACCAACTGACCCACGTAGGTGCCTCTCCCCTCCCTTTTTTTTGCCCAGAAAGAACACTGGCAGATTCCTGCAAGTCATCAGGAACCTCATGATAATCAGATCCACTCTGGCATTTTGGGTTGTTTATGAGAGTTATAAATCAGATTTATAATTCATCATCATATTGAACCATTCATGCATCCATCTATTCTCTTTTGACATGTGAATTGAGCACATAGTTTTGGCCCGGCACTATTATATCTACTGGAGAAGGAGCAGGGAAGAACAGACCCAAGTCCCTTCCCTAGAGGCCCTTACATTCTGCTGGTCAAAGACCAACCATAAACAGTGATGTAGACTCTATGACACTCAGGAACAAATCCAGTGTGTGACCTGTAACACCAGTGGGCAAGAAGTGGTACTTTTTTTTTGCATGGCATGAAGGACCTGCCAGAAAGAGTCCGAAGTGCCATGAAGGGGTAAGTACTTACCAAAAGATGCATCCCAGGTGTGCTTAATGCAGATTCAGGAAATCTTTAAGAAGAGCCTGCTATATCCGAAGACTGGGCTAGACTCAGGACAGGACATGCCACAAGTACACAGTGATGTCTGGGAGTGTCTCATCCAATTCTGTATTCCAGAGTTTTCTCCTCTGATCTCCTTCTCTTCTCTCTACACCCTTTCATCTGGGTTGCCTTCCACCAGACAAACCAAAATATATTTTTTTATTTTTAAAGATTTTATCTATCTATCCATGAGAGACACACACACACACAGAGGCAGAAATACAGGCAGGGAGAGAAGCTGGCTCCACACAGGGAGCCCGATGTGGGACTTGATCCCAGGACTCCAGGATCACGCCCCCGGGCCGAAGGCAGGTGCTCAAAATCTGAGTCACCCACGCGTCCCGACAGACCAAAATCTTAGCAAACCAGAATACACACTAGTTATGGCCACTATCCAGCAGGCACCTTGGCTAGTTTCTATGGTGCTATCTACACAGCAACCTGGACACCCATAAACATCTTCCTTGGAATCACTTATGAGCACAAGGATTTTCCAGGAAACTCTTAGTGAGGGCTCTGCAACTCAGAAGAAGTAAATCATTGTCTAAATTCAATCCAACCTCAAAGTAACAGGTCAATAGAATCTATTATATTCTGGAGCTTAATGCAATGACTGTAAAATTCACTTGAAAAAATAGCCAGGGATTTTCAAGTGCTTAGTCATTTGGCTTCTCTAGTCTTTAGAATAGTTTCAAGATAGAGCAAATAAAACATTGTATTATTGGCACCCTAGACAATGAATAATTGAGTTTGGAATTATGGCTAAGGGAGCATATAGGTATCTGTAGAATTATGATAGGACTTCAAAGCAGCGGGCAAGGTTAGGATTATTCAAGAAAAAGTTTCTTAATTAAAATGAGTGCCCCCCCAAAAAAAAAATAAAATAAAATGAGTGCCCAGTGGAACCTACTATAACACTGTATGCTCGGGATCCCTGGGTAGCGCAGCAGTTTGGCGCCTGCCTTTGGCCCAGGGCGCGATCCTGGAGACCCAGGACCGAATCCCACGTCAGGCTCCTGGTGCATGGAGCCTGCTTCTCCCTCTGCCTGTGTCTCTGCCTCTCTCTCTCTCTCTCTGTATGACTATCATAAATAAAAAAAAAAAAACCACTGTATGCTAACTAACTGGAATTAAAATTAAAAAAAACTTTTAAATGAAATGGGTATCCAGTGTGTACATGAAGCATTTAAATGCAAAACAATGCAATTATAAAAACTAAAGAATTGGTGATTTTAAAAAATGTCAAAGAATGACAGAAACTTTGAAGCAATCAAGAAAAAAGACTGACACAACAAATATCATTTAAAAAAATTACTCCCAACTAGAAGCTTACACATCACTGCAACCCACTTATAGGGACGTAGACCCAGGAGACAATGATGGGAGGAGCCTAGGTTTGGATCCAAGGATAATCACATTAATTATACTTTAGTTGTATTGGCAAGAGCAGGGAATTGGTTAAACTATTGAGGGGTAAGAGCCTAAGTTTCCAGAGCTCCAAGGACACGTCATTTGCTAAAGTCACCTGGTGGGTTAATCTGGAGATTGGTTGACGGGGAGGTCGGGTCGGACAAGATAGCAGGTAGAAACACCCACTCCCATCCAACTGAAACTCAGAGCCTCTATGAACCTGCCAGGTTGGCTTCATTGGGAGGGGCCAGTGGAGGCAGGGCCGGAAGGGGCTGGGCCAGCAGGGTTGAAATTGAAATTGAAATGAGGGTGGGTGCCAGTGGGCCCCAGTCTTGCTGATAGCCAGAGCATCCCATACAGCGGCCAGGCTAGTCCTACATCCACTTGGTGACCGTGGTAGGGTACAGGGCCTTTCGGAGAGAAGCTTTAGCCTCTTTGAACCCATGGATGTGAGCATCAGACTTTGTGAGGCTGGAGGAGAGGAACTCTAGGCCGCAGGGTGTAGGTGAACCACCCCAGAGCAGCCTCATTCTTGAGGAAGGAAGGAAGGAAGGAAGGAAGGTGAGTTGTGTCAGCGGAGGACCTGTTCCGACTGCAGGAGCTCTGGAGTGTGTGTGCCTGTGTGTGTGGTGGGTGAGCGTCCAGGAGACACCTGGTTCCTCCCTGTGCGATGGGGATGTTATAGGCGAGAACTGTGTGCACACCTGACTCCTACAGGTAAGCGCTGGAACCCATGGGGTCCCGCCACTTTGTATGGGGAAAAGGATCACTACAGGACCCTTCTCTGACAACTTTGGAGTTCCCAGTCTTGTGGGTGTGGTGGGAAACCCTGCCTCCTTAGCACCTGACCCTTTCTTTAAAGTCCTCGTCTGTAGAAAGTTCCAGGCAACTACACAGAGATGTCTCCTAGAACCATGCTCTTCCAGGGCCTGTCCCCTCCGGGGTCCTCACCCTCAGGACCGCAATGTCCGGCCGAGCCAGGACTCGAGCTCGAGGCAGAGCCCGTGGTAGGTTCCCGTCCCAACCCGCGCCACCTGGAGCCGCAGCGCCACCTGGAGCCGCAGCGCCACCTGGAGCCGCAGCGCCACCTGGAGCCGCAGCGCCGCCAGTGAGCACAATCCTGTTCAGTCTCATCTATGCAGAAGATGCTGGATCTTCCTCAGCTGCTTCCCTCTCACGTGCCTTCACTCTCGCAAAGGGCTTTACTTTCATCCTGAGAGTATGGAAAGGTGTCTGAATATCTTGGCTCCAGCCAAGGACTCCTCTTTGAGGATGAATTCAAAACAAGCAGCTGACACCCCACAGGTGTCTGTGCGCTGCTGAGGTGCCCTCCCCGACATGCCCCACTCCTCTCCTCTAAAGAAGCCCCATTCTGCCCTTTGCTGCCTTCTAGATCCATCCTAGACTCCTCTAAAACCCTTCATGTAAACAACCAGGAAATACTGTCCTCTCCCAATTAAAAAAAAATCCTAGCATCTGACAACGTCTTACCACCTCTGTTTCCCCCCTCTGGCCCCAACCCCCAGCATCCTTTGCTGAACACCACAAGTGGCCTCCTAACTGGTCTTCCTGCATTTGCCCTCGTCATTTTTTCGGTTACTCAGCACAGAACCAGTAAGTCAGTCCATGCAGCTCCTCTGCCCAATGCCCTGTACACGTTCCTGTCTTCTTAGTCCGAACACATTGTTCCAGATGGCCTTCCTCCCACCACCCCTGTGACTTCTCCTGCTTCTCTCCCCTTGTTCAGCTCCTGCTTCCTTGGACATTGCTGCCTTAGAAAACTTGCTCTTTACCTGTGGCTCCCATAACCTTGTAACTCTCCTCCAAAGCTTTGGTGGAGTCCCAACCTCCTCCCGAGGCTCTGTTTCATACCCCATGAACTCACCCAGCCCCCCTTCACAAACCTACCTTCCCCATAACACAAATTTTCTGTACTTTGTTCTCTTTTACTTCATTTCCCTGGCCATTAACATACTAATGTTATATACATTATGATTTTCTGTTACTGGCGTGTGAGCCATTACAAGGGAACGTGCTCCATGCCCTGATAGCACTTGGGCACATAGCAGGCAAATAATTTTTGGATGAGGGACAAATTCCATTAACAGCACTCTTTATGTCTATCCCCTCAAATATGCAGACTCAGCAAACCAGCCGAATTCCACCTAGCCCGTGGCCGCTGCAACCGGAAAGCCAAGTGGTTAAGCCTGCACAACGAAGAAGACCGAAAAGAGCATCTCGGCCTCCAGGTGACAATGGGGAAAGAGAGGGCTATGGTGAGGGGCAGGGAGATTTAATCTCTGAGGGTGTACCATAGTGATACCAGCCCAGCCGAGGGCCTCAGGATCCCCATAGAGTTTGACAGGATAGGAAGAGTGTATAGCCCTCAACTATTTTTCTTTTCTGCAACGAATTAATTGCTCAGTGTTTTCTTCCCCTTATATTTTAAAGCTTATGGAAAAGTGGAGATGGATAACAGTCTAACCAATTGTTCAATTATAATGTCTTTTCAGGTTTAGACAATGCATTCATATATAACTACAAGTTAACTAGGAATTCTAGAAACATGAGTGGGTTTGAAATCAATGCACTAGAAGGTTGAGCAGCTGCTTGAGCCCCTCAGCCTTGCCTGCATTGTATTCTCCGCCTAGGTGGAAGGGTATCATTATGCAAGTGAGCATTCAGACTCGTATATTAGCCAAGGGTTTGGCTAAAACTATTAAACCTCAGGTCTGATTCTCTGACTTGCTCCTATCTTAAAGTGTTTTAAAAGAGCATTGGGAGGGGCAGAGGTACAGAGTGAATCTTAAACAGGCTCCATGCTGAATGTGCAGCTCGATGCGGGGCTTGATCTCAGGACCCTGAGATCATGACCTGAGCCAAAATCAAGAGTGGGACACCTGGATGGCTCAGTCAGTTAAGTTTTAAATTATTATTAATTATGGTGAGAATAGTTAACATGAGATCTGTCCTTTTTTCCTTTTTTAAAGGCTGAATAATAGTCTGTGGTATGGATATACCATGTTAACTTACCCATTCATCTGTTAGTATTTGGGTTGTTTCCGGGGCTTGGCTATTTTTAATACTGTTGCAGTGAACGTGGGAGTGCTAATATATCTTTGAGATTCTGATTTCAATTTCTCTGAAAGAATCTCCCAGAAGTAGGACTGCTGGACTATATGGTGGTTCTACTTCTAAGTGTTTGGAGTAATCTCTATACTGTTTTCCGTAGCAGCTGTACCATTTTTGCATTATCAAGGGATTGAAATTTCTCCACATCTTCACCAGCATTTGTGGTCTTTAAAAAAAAATTTCTCTCTCTCTCTCTTTCTCTCTCTCTCTCCTCTCTCTCTCTCTCTCTCACACACACACACACACACACAAACACACACACACTGCCATGCTTACAGATGGGAAGTGACAGCTCATTGTGCTTTGATCTGCATTTCCTGGTGACTTTGAGCATGTTTTCATGTACCTGTTGGCCAACTATATGTTTGTTCATTCAGGTCTTTTCTCCATTAAAAGGGGGGTTATTGGGATCCCTGGGTGGCTCAGCAGTTTAGCGCCTGCCTTTGGCCAGGGCGTGATCCTGGAGTCCTGGGATCGAGTCCCACGTCGGGCTCCCAGCATGGAGCCTGCTTCTCCCTCCTCCTGTGTCTCTGCCTCTCTCTCTCTCTCTATCATGAATGAATAAATAAATCTTTAAAAAAATGGGGGGTTATTATGTCGCCCCCAACCCTGCCACTCTTCAGTTTCAGGAGTTCCTTATATATTTTGGAAATTAACCCCTTATAAGATACATGGTTTGCAAATATTTTCTCCCACTCCATAAGTGGCTTTCATTCTGTTGATGCATTAATTTGTTCAGAAACTTTTTAGCTTGAAGAATTCCTACTTGTCTGTTTTTGCTTCTATTGTCTCTGCCTTTGGTGTCTGATGTTATAGATGTTTTTATAAAATACAGATACATAATATGAACTCCATGAAATGAAATTATCTGAATACACAATAGTGAATACCCGTTTTTTCATCTATATCATGTCTGAAGAGTTATGTTTAATACTTCAATAAAGCATATTGTATGTAGCAAGTACTAATGAATGATGCCAGCTGTTTTCTCTCCCTGAAATTTGAATGTGGTAAGTTTGACTGCTGGCTGTGTCTGGAATTAGTTGTGAATTTGATAAAAAGCATTTAAAAAAACTTGTTTGTAAAATGAAAGCTCTTCTATTATACAAATTCAGACTCTGGTATTTTATAGGATCATCATTAACTAGGAATAATAGCTTCCAGAAGGAACCTTTTGAAGAGAACCAGTTTCTGTAGCCCAGGGCATGGACTATCTTAGTCATTCAGGGGTGCAAGGTTTATGAATAATGTAGGTTATTTTAACGATATTTTTTGTATATTCTTTTATTGGAGTTCGATTTGCCAACATGAAGTATAACACCTACTGTTCATCCCAGCAAGTGCCGTCCTTGGTGCCCATCACCCAGTCACCTCATCCCCCCACCCACCTTCCTTTCCACTACCCCTTGTTCATTTCCCAAAGCTAGCAGTCTCTAAGGATTTGTCACCCTCTCTGATTTTTTTCCCCACTAATTTTCTCTCCTTTCCCCTATGATTCCTTTCACTATTTTTTATATTCTTGGTATAAGTGAAACCATATGGTAATTGTCCTTCAATTGACTTACTTAGCATAATATCCTCCAGTTCCATCCATGTCGAAGCAAATGGTGGGTATTTGTCATTTCTAATGACTAATATTCCATTGTATATATAGACCATAATCTTTATCTATTCGTCTTTTGATGGACCCCGAGGCTCCTTCCAGTTTGGCTATTGTGCACATTGCTGCTATAAACACTGGGGAACAGGTGGCTTGGATTTTCACTGCATTTGTATCTTTGGGGTAAATTCCCTGTAGTGCAATTGCTGAGCCATATAGTAGCTCTATTTTTAACTCTTTCAGGTACCTCCATCCACACAGTTTGCCAGAGTGACTGCACCAGGTCACATTCCCACCTACAGTGCAAGAGGGTTCCCCCTTCTCCGCATCCTCTCCAACATTTGTGGTTTCCTGTCTTGTGACTTTTCCCCATTTCCCACTGGTGTGAAGTGGTATCTCATCATGGGGGTTTGGATCGGTAGTTCCCTGATGGCCAGTGATGTGGAGAATGTTCTCATATGCTTGTTGGCCATGTCTAAGTGGTCTTTGGGGAAATTTCTTTTCATGTCTTTTGCCCATTTCATGATGAGATTGTTTCTTTGCTGTTGAGTTGAAGTTCTTTATAGATCTTGGATACTAGCCCTTTATCTGATAGGTCATTTGCAAATATCTTCTCCCATTCTGTAGGTGGACTGTTTCTTTTTCTTTTTCCTTTTTTTTTTATGATCATCATTGCCTTTTATTTGACTTTTATGACCAACCTCGTGGTTTCACACTGCAACAATTTATGAGCACTGGAAAAGCAAAGTTGAATTTTCCGTTCCTTTTTTTTTTTAAGAGTATAATCCTTTTATTTATTTTTATTTATTTTTTTATTGGAGTTCAATTTGCCAACATATACCATAATACCCAGTGCTCATCCCATCAAGTGCCCACCTCAGTGCCCATCACCCAGTCACTCCCATCCCTGCCCACCTCCCTTTCCACCATCCCTTTTCGTTTCCCAGAGTTAGGAGTCTCTCATGTTCTGTCTCCCTTTCTGATATTTCCCATTCATTTTTTTCTCCTTTCCCCTTTATTCCCTTTCACTATTTTTTATATTCCCCAAATGAATGAGACCATATAATGTTTGTCCTTCTCTGATTGACTTATTTCACTCAGCATAATACCCTCCAGTTCCATCCACGTCAAAGCAAATGGTGGGTATTTGTAATTTCTAATGACTGAGTAATATTCCATTGTATACATAGACCACATCTTTTTTTATCCGTTCATCTTCTGATGGACCCCAAGGCTCCTTCCACAGTTTGGCTATTGCCGACATTGCTGCCATAAACATCAGGGTGCAGGTGTCCTGGTGTTTCACTGCATCTGTATCTTTGCGGTAAATCCCCAGCAGATCTATTTTTAACTCTTTGAGGAACCTTTGTCGACTGTTTCTTTTGTGGTGCAGAAGCTTCTTATCTTGATGAAGTCCCAATAATTCATTTTTGCTTTTGTTTCTCTTGCCCTCGCAGATGTATCTTGCGAGACGTTGCTGTGGCCAAGTTGAAAAAGGGTGTTGCCTCTGTTCGCCTCTAGGATTTGGATGGATTCTTGTCTCACATTTAGATCTTTCATCCATTTTGAGTTTATCTTTGTGTGTGGTGTCAGAGAATGGTCTAGGTTCCTCCTTCTGCATGTGGATGTCCAATGTTCCCAGCTCCATTTATTGAAGAGACTGTCTTTTTTTCCAGGGATAGTCTTTCCTGCTTTCTCGAATATTACTTGACCGTCAAGTTGAGGGTCCACTTCTGGATTCGCTCTTCGGTTCCATTGATCTATGGGTCTGTTTTTGTGCCAGTACCACACTGTCTTGATGGCCACAGCTTTGTAGTACAACCTGAAATCTGGCATTGTGATCTAAATTCTGCAGTCATGAAGTCTCTCAAATCTTTTATGCTTTTATCTAGAGCCACCAGTAGCTTTGTAATTGTGCTTCTGAATTGACTTCCTGACACTGAATTGTAATCCGTATTCTGTAGTCATGTGGCAGAGAGTACTATTTCTGATTCTCTTTTGTTGTGAGTTCTTCCTTCTAGTCGTTTTGCTCCATGCAGAGTGGGGGTGTGAGCAAGCTAAGGCAAGAATTTGAAACACGACCTAAGTAAATTTCACCGTAGATGATTCTGACGAGGTCGGAGACTAGAAAATGAAAACCAAATCAGAACATAATAAAACCAAAGGAGCACTGAAGTGAAAAACAAACTTTAAAAGAAAGTGGTAAAAAAATAAAAGGCCAAGAATCCCAAAGAAGTATAAAAACGAAAAAGCAAAAGAGAAGAGAAAAAAGCAAAAGTGAAGAGGAAAAGGAAAAAAGAAGAAAAAAACGGAGGGGAATAGGAGATGGTGGTGATGAAGTTGTAGTGGAAGGAAAATATAGTCTACCTGGGGTCCTAGAGGCTGATCCTCTTGGTTCTGAGTGTATGAAGTTCTGTATGTTAGAAGATGTTCGGTCCCAAATTTATATAAACCAGCAATACTTGTAGAAAGCCCCAACGTTAACCACCAAAACATAAGGTAAAAGAGAGGGGCAGAATGGTAATGAAGAGAGACTGTAATCTCATAGAATGAACCAGCACGGTATAGTACTTGGTTCTGGGTGCATGCTGGTCATGTTTTAGAAGGTATGAACTTCCACCATTGGAGAACAAAAGGAGTCCAAGAAAACAAACAAAAATAACAAAAAAACATAGCTTATAAATTTCCCAATATTAAATTGAGTATGTTGAATCTAGAAGTAGAAATTATATCTAGGATCTGTAATGGTAGAAATAAGAAAGTCAAAAAAGGAAGAACGTTAAAAATGAAGTGGTAAAATATTGTAGTTAAGATGGGAAAAGGGGAAAAAATACTGGAAATTTTTAGTCTGATATAAAAAGGAGTTGTACTGGAAAAAGCGGGGGGGGGGGGGGGAAGGAGGGGAATCTCTAGTTCTACTAACTCTAAGTCCCTCTTCTTCCCCTGGGGCTTTCCAGCACTGCTCGGTCCAGAACTTGCTCTTCCCCTGTCCTTCCAGCTGGTCTTCGGGGAGGGGCTGCTGTGCTGATTCTCAGGTGTGTGCACCTGGGGACCTGCCCCCCCCTCCCCCGCCAGGTGCCGGGCTTAGGGGGAGCTGCTTGTCCTGTGAGGCCTCTGTCCCCTGGCGACGCCACCTGTCCCAGGCACAAGGTGACACAGGGAGGAACACAGCAGTGGCGGCGGCCAGCTCTCCAGCCCTGGAGTCAGCTCCCCAGTAACTCCCGCCATCCCCAGTCCCCGTGGGCCTGGGTGCTCCGGGGCGGGGGCGCGGACCTGCACAGCTCGGGGGCCGGCCGCAGGGGAGCCCTCGCGTCCTGGGCCCTGCCGCCCCCGCCTGCCCCGGGGGGAGGCGGGACCCCGGCCGTGTCCCCCGTGCGCCCTGGGCTCTGGGGCGTGTGCTGCCGGCATCACGCTCCTGGGTCCGTGGCGGGCGCCCGAAGGCAGCAGGCGCAGCGCCCCGCCCCGCCTGCCCGCCCGCCCGCCCGGAGCCCCCGCCTGCCCCCCTGCTTCTCCCCGACGCCCCGCCGTCTGCGGCTCCAGCGCTGTCCCGAGCTCGGCCCGCGGGCTGTGGGGTGCTCTGCCCCGGGCGCGCCTCGTCTGCTAGTGACCCCGGGAGCCTGCGGGCTCCGCCGCCCCTCCTGGGGTTCAGCCCAATGCTCCTCCTCTCCGGGGCTGGGCTCTAGGGGCTCCCAGTCTTACCCACCAGGCTGGAGCCATCTCCTCTGGCCCGCAGCTCCCCACCCCCCCACCTGCCCCCAGGCTTCTTCCCCCCCTTTCCTTCCCCTTTCCTTCCCCCCTTTCCCTTCCCCCCCTTTCCCTTCCCCCCCTTTCCCTTCCCCCCTTCCTTCCCCCTTTCCTTCCCCCCTTCCCTCCCCCTTCCTCCCCCCTCCCTCCCCCCCTTCCCCCCTTCCCTTCCCCCCCTTACCCCTTCTTTTTCCACCCTTCTTCCCCCCCCCCCCACCTTTCCCCCTTCCTGTCTTATCTTGTTAGAAGTCAAAACTTTTCCCTCTGTAGAGTTCCGGCTGTTCTGTCTTTAAATCTCAGGTCAGATTCGTAGGTGTTCAGGATGGTTTGGAAGTTCTGTAGGTAAGTTGGGGACCTGGTGAGGTGAGGACCCTACTCCTCCATCTTCATAAATCCCCTCCTCCAGGGTATTTGAAAGACTGCTTTGTCTTGTCCTCCAAATGGTGCCTGGTAAAATCTGTATGCATATTTCAATGTAATTAAAAAATAGAGCCTTTTCCAGTAGCTGTTAATAAAAAGAACGTCTCAGTTATTTTGTATCAAAGGCAATTTCATGCACTTTTTTTTATAAACCGCTTATTCAGTCAGCATTTTCCAGTGCTCCTGAGAGGGCAGTGAGGTGCCAAGTGATTGGCCTATAAAGCCGCTGGCTAAGGACAAAGTTTCTGCTTTGAAGCTTGCACTCCGAACAAGTGTCTGGCACAAAAGCAAATTCCATGGGGATGGATGTGGGGCTGGGCCAGGCTGGCCACTGATGTGGGGTGGGGTCTTGTTCAGAGGGGTTTCCAGGTCCCATTCCCCCTTTCTGTTGACCAATGACTGAAATACCCTTTGGATTGTTGGACAGTCCTGACTTTCCTAACTCCAGCGACCCCCCCCCCCTTTTTTTTAATTGTATACCACTCATGGCTTTCATATCCATTTCCATGTAGAGGAACTTCAGCTGGCGACTAGACTGCAGGCAACCTCACTGAAGGAGAGAAAGCGTTTTGGGGGTATTTTTCGAGACCATGTGGTGGATACCCGACAGTACTTGGAACATGTTAGAGAGTCCACGACAGGTATGCTGGCCATTAACGACCCAGCCTGAGGGAATTGTTCACGTGAAACCTGTGCATGTTTGTGTTTAAGAGTGTGTGTAAAGCTTCATCCCATCACTGTGAGTGGAGGTAACCTCCCAAACTGCTTACGTTGTTGTAATGGCACCCGATTTTGCAGAAACAGAGACTATTAGAGAGTCCTAGATGGACTCTCCATTTTTCTATTCCTTTTGTAGCCACTAAGACAGAATGACCCAGCTCTTTGAATGCACTGAGACTTTAGAAAAAAGAAACCTAAGCATAATTACAACATTTACATTATTCTGGCTCCCCACCCAGCTCCCCCTGTTGCAAGCCTTGTGTTAGAGATTTTTCTTCTGATCTCTTGTTAAATATTTTAATCTTCTATTTTAACTCTCTAAATGTCTGCTTGAGTGAGGACTCCTCTAAATGGATGATGCATACTCTGGACATCAGCTGTATGTAAATGTTTATGTGTTTGGTGGTTAATATCCTTGTTTGGCCTAACTTTGGCTTTCGGTATTGGGATGTCCACATTATTTAGGTACAGTCAGTCTGCTTGTTTCATTATTGACACGTGGATTCATTTTTGCAGGCACGCTGGGTAGACCTGTAAAGCTATTCACAAACCATTTCCGAGTGACGTCCCGCCCCCAGCAGGTCACATATAAGTACAACATTGACTACATGCCAGACATCGAGGATGGAAAAGTTCGTTCAGAATTGCTTTTGCAGCATAAAGCATTTATTGGAGAGTGCCATATATTTGATGGGAGCTCTTTATTATTACCTCACAAGCTACTGTTGCCGGTTAAGTACTGTTATTGGATGTTTTCTTTTTAAATTTTATTTATTTGATAGAGCAAGAGAGAATGAGCAAGAGGGCAGAGGGAGAGGGACAAGCAGTCTCCCCATTGAGCAGGGAGCACAACTCGGGGCTCAAACCCAGGACCTGAGATCACTACCTGAGCCAAAGGCAGATGCTTAACAAATTGAACCACCCAGGCACCCTAGACATTTTCTTGACCTTTGTTCTCTTCCTCTCACATCTTCACTGTTTTAAAGCAAATACCATTTTTGTACAACGATTTGAGGAGACCTGAAGATCTCTTGCCCATGGGATTTGTAACAAAACCCACATGCCATGTGTGCTTATCACTGATGTTCCCTCCTGCCTCATGTCAGTGCTTTTTTTTTTTTTGTCAGTGCTTAAAATGAATCTGAGAGCAAAATATATACATGTTTTACATTTTCAATGGCAAATATGGGTCAAGTGCTGATGAAGTATTGAATAGTTTTTATCTCTTGTTCTCATCTTTCAGCAAAAACATTAGAAGGACTCAATATTTTTCCAATAAACATCTATTTACCAAAAGAATAATCTACAGGAGCTCGTTTAAGTTAAAAAAGTAGTTGTAAATGTTTAATTCTGACTCCTCACTTTAGCCTCATAAATCTTGTATTGTCCCTGCATGTGTCACACTGGTGTGTTTCATACCCAGGTGACCTATTGATTTGTGGTTCAATAATGAGCTTATTGTCTTCGGAAGGACTGCTAGACCCTCTTGTTTTTTCTTTATCTCAGAAAACAGAATTGGTCAGCCTACTGAAAAACCAGGTTGTGAAGCTGACCATTGAATTCATCAGCGAACTCTCACCCAACTCACCAGACTGCTTACGCTATTACAACATTCTCTTTAGAAGGTGTGTTTATAAGCTTTAGTTTCCTTGAGATATGACTGTGTTCATGTGTCAGTGGCATTGAACATAGACATTTGCTCCTAGAATTTCATGTTCTTGACACCTCCTCATCCTGAGAGGGCAACGGACCTTGGGGATGAAATGGGACTTGACCCTCACCTAGACATTCTTAAGTTCTGTGGCCTATCCTCAGTATTCTCCCTGCCTACCCCCACATCCTGTGCCTGGACCTGCCTGGAAGGAGGAGCATACATCGAGTATGCATGCCTATGCATATTTCTCCTTAGAGCAAATGCACTGGTTTTTTATTTTGTAGTAACAGTGGTGGACAAATATCCCAAATTGGAGGCACATAATCTGCAAAAGATGTTTTGGTTCATTTCTGGGAATGGAGGACATCCTAATGGTCTTTCCATGACAGTTTGTTGTATATAAGGGAAAGGAGGGGAAAACAGAGGATAAATGGACCTTAATATCTACCTCACAATATAATTTACTTGTACCAGGTACATCTGTTTATTATGTGTAATACAAAGTTGCTGGCAGATTTTTCCCCCTAATGTATCCTCATGTGTATTACCAAATGCTTAATATTCATACTATTTCAACAAAACTTATTCTTCAATTTTTAGAATTTTGAAGCAGATGAATTTGAAGCAAGTTGGTCGCAACTATTATAACAAGCAAGAGGCCACTGAGTTCTTCGATCACAAGTTGGTATAAAATAGTTTCATGTAATGTTTGTAATGTATACATCTAAGTCCCATAGATTCTCACATGCAAACATATGTAGGTATATATGTGTAAGCCTGTGGTTAATAATAAAAGTGGTTTAACAAAAATTAGGTATAACTAGCACAGCAGGTAAATCTCTATTGGAAAGGTCCTTCAAAAGACCCTTTCTTATTAAAAATAAGGGATGAAATGGCTTGACTCCAAAGTGACTTTTTAGGGCCCTGTGACACGTGCTCTATACTCAGAGCTTGGAGTTTGATAATCCTATCTAACGTGTTCTATTTGCAGGCTGGTCATCTGGCCTGGATACGTTACTTCTATTCTTGAGTATGAAACCAGCATTACCCTCTGTGCTGATGTGAACCATAAACTGCTCCGAATGCAAACAGCTTATGATTTAATAACAGGTCTTCGTGATCCACAAACCAAAAAGGAAGATGTTGAGCAAGTTTCTAAAGAATTAATCGGGTCAATTGTTTTTACACTGTAAGTCTGCTTAAAAAAACAACAACAACAAACCTATCCCATTACTTTGATCACCACCCCCACCCCGAGAAGATGTTCCCAGTGGTTTTCAAACCACTCAGTAGTTAAAGTTCAGAAGCTGACCTGGCACGGCAATGGCCAAGTCAGTTCGTGCTTTTCTCATCTAGGTCTATTGCAAGAGAGAGGGATACGTGTCATTTGGAGACTTCGCTGTTCTTAATTCCTAATGCTGATCCAGTCATCTTGTGGAAGCCTGTCCTGCACATAACAGAATATATTCCTTCCAAATTTCTTTTGCTTGGTGTCTAACTAGTTTTAAAAAAAATCAGGGCTTAATTAGATAGAACCTATGGGCAAATTTCCACTTGAAGTTAGTTTTTTCCTCTCCCTTTAAACCAGACACTTTTAAGAGTGTGGACTGAAAGTTGTTTAGCAACATCATCTTAAGAGTAAAGTTGAGGACTTTTGCTCCCTAATTTCAAAACATATAAAGCTAGTAATCAAGACAGTAGCAAAAGGACAGATGAAAAGATTGATGGAATAGAATTGAGTCCCAAAGTCAGTTTATAGTCAGTTTATTTTTTTTCAACAAGAGTGTCAAGACAGTTTAGAGAAGGAATACTCTTTCAGCAAATATTGCTGTGACCACTGGGTATCCACCTGGCCCTTCCTGACACAATATACAAAATTAACTCCAATTCCACTCCAAGATAAACTCAAAATAGACCTCCATGGAAGTGTTAAAAGTATAAAAGTCTTTGAAGAAACTATAGGAGTAAATCTTCTTTAGGTGAGCAAAACCCTTATAGGACACCAACAGAGAAGGGATGACAAAAGAAAAGTATAAATTGTACTTCATCAAATTAAACACGTTTGTTCTTCAAAGTCAAAAGTGAAAAACAATGGATAGAAAGGTGACTTGCAAATATTTTCTCTCAATCTCATAACTTGCATCTATATAAGTAAAGAACAGGTACAAGTCAAAAGATAACTTTTTTAAAAAATGGGTAAGGATCTGAATTGACATTTCTCTGAAGAAAATATAAAAATGATCCATAATCACATGAAAAGATATTCAATGTTATTAGCCATGAGGGAAATGCAGAGTAAAACCACAGTGAAATAGCACTTCGTACCCACTAGGATGGCTAAAATTAAAAAAGCAGATACTAAATGTTGGCAAGGATGTGAAAAATCGGAACCAACCCTCAAACTTTGCTGGTATAAATGTGAAATGGTATGATCTCCTTGGAAAACAGTATGGCACTTCCTCAACATGCTAAATATAGTGTGGCCATATGATCCAGCAGTTCTATTCCTGGTTATGTACCCAAGAAAAATGAAAACTTATGGCCATTCATGTACCAATTTTGTAGACCTGACATCATTATTCATAATAGCTCAAGAGTGTAAACAACGTGAATGTTCATCCGCTGAAACAGATAATATATCCCATTATAGATATGCTATGTTTTTATTTGGCAATAAGTAGGAATTAAGTACAAGTATATGCTATAGCAGGAATGAATCTCGAAAGACATTATGCTGAGTGGGAGAAGGCAGTCAGGAAGGGTCACATATTGTATGACTCAATTCCTATGAAACAGGACAGATAGGCAAACGTATAGGATGGACTTTAAACTAGCAGTTATCTAAGGACTGGGGAAGTTGAGTGGACATGAGGAGTGACTGCTCGTGGTTGTGGTGTTTCTTTGGGTTGTGTTGAAGAGTGTACAACTTGGTGAATATATTAAATATGATAAAGCTGATATATCCTGCAATTACCTGTAGGATTTAAAGCCTATTAATTCTTGCCTGATCCCATGCTATGAATACATTAGGAATAATACCACATATTGTGAATATTCCACAGGTATAACAACAAAACCTATAGGGTGGATGCTATTAATTGGGAGGATAATCCCAGAACCAAATTTAAGAAATCAGGTGGTGCTGAAATCACCTTTGTAGACTACTACAGGGAGGTATGCAATCTTTTATTTCAGTATATCTAAATATTTTTTCTTATTTAATCAAATATGTCTCCTATGTATAACTGATAGTCACATATGTTAGATCATAAGTCATAATCTATGTATTACAGGGTTTCTCTTGGAGGATATTATAACTTACATGAATTTGTCCATGTATTTGGGTACCTTGTGTATATGTTACATAATTAGAATGGCTCCAATAAGACCTCTTTCATGAGTCTTGGACGTGGCTATGATAGTTTTAAACATGTTGATGGATTGTTGGGTTGAAAATAAAATATGGCAAGATTTCAGATATGAAGACTTCACCTACGTAGAAGTTTCAGCTCTCTAGGACTTGGTTCAAAATGAAAAGGTGAAAAATTACTATCAGAAATGATGTCACTTATGTGCTAAATCTCATAACTCATGAATTCCTCAATCTTTGTTCACAAAGAAACAAGTAAACTTCGTGAACAAAGATGCACTAGGTGGTGAGGTTGGTTTTCTAGCTTGGGCAGATAAGAGAGAATTCAAGGAGTTACAGATATTTATAGCAAACGGAAAGAACTTAGAAAAGTATAAGCTGGGTTTTTTTCCTAAATTATATTAGGAATCCAAAATCTAGCTACTTGGAAGCACTGAGGGTACACAGCCATTCAAGGGGATGGTGCTATTATGGCATCATCCCCACTTGTGCTCCACGCTTAGTACTTACTTGTTTAACCTGAAAGCATGTAATGAGTGCTCATTATACAACTTGGGTATACATTGGTAAGACTACTGAGTTCTCTGTTCTTAAGGGACTTGCCTCCTTGTAGTAGGAAGAGAGATGGCAGACAAGAAGAAAGCATGTATTGGGGGAAATCTATGCAGATAATCAAGAGGTGTTATGGAGAATGTCTGGTGGCTTAGACTGCTGGTCATAGAAAGCTCTGAGTAGCTGGTATGTGACTGTCAGAAAGGAGCAAGCTGTGTGCAGATTGGTGAGAAGAATTGTCTCTTACACCACTTTCAGGATGGGCGTGATGTATCCAGATCCCAAACAAGGCTAGAGTGTCCTGTCAAGAAATAAACCCAGTTGTGGGTGGGACGTGTACAGGGTTGCAGGATATGACGTCAGAGGAGGACGTGGGAGCCACATTGTATAAAGTTCTGTCCACCTACACACATTGGATTTTACCGTTAAGTGACACTATACAGATAGATGAAATGGGGTACTTTCTTTTATAGATGTGCGTCTAATGTACAGGGAATGCACTGTATGCAGGTAAAAAGGGAGGCAGGGACACCAGTAGGGAGGTGCTTAAGTCCATTTAGATCAGTGATAATGGTGACCTGGATTAGAAAGGGAGTAGAAGGAGCAGATGGGAGGACTTTTGATGGCTCAAATGTAGTGAGTAATGGTAAGAGGAGTCTCTGACTTTATCTGAGGAAGTGAATGGAGGCTGGCATCACTTATTGCAATGGGAGATTCTGTGTGAGGAGCTGGCTTGGGGATTGTTGGGTTGACATAGCCTCTGATGGAGTTGCAGACAGGGATATCAGGCTGATATTTGCTTGCTCATTCTCCAGATTTTACTTCAAAGGTCATTGGTTGAGACGACCTTTGAAATGACTTGGGTAGTCTTGGGATGTCCTGGTGGGAACTCAGGATAATAACAGATGGCAATCTAGTTGTGTTGTCATGAGATCTAGAAAAATCCTGAAATCCATAGATGAGCCCTTAAAAGGAAAGCACAATCCTGGCTTGCAGAAAAGCTTTCATAGTAATGCAAAGTGGGACAAGGAAATTCCTGTGGAGACGCAGAAGTTGGTGTTGTAGGAGATCCATCTGGGATATCACAGGACAGCCATGAGAATTAAATAGTGTGTTTCTCAAAGTTCTCGACAGAAAGAATAGCTTGTACAAAGGCTGTGCTAGTCTCAGGAGTGGGAGTGGTGATTGAGGCCCTAAAATGATGCCATGATTCTGCACACATGTATATACATATACTTGCACAAGCTCCTGCCTTAAGACTCTAGAAGCAGGGGAATGGAGGTGAATCCCAGCTGCCTTTCAAATAACTACAGAGAATTAAAAGTAGTAGTTCAGCTCCAGAGGTAAAGCGCCATGAACACTGGATTTGAAGTCGTCTTGTCTCTGGAACTCCTTTGACATTCTCAGGATACTTAACCAATCCCACCAGAATTCATGTGGCTAACTGGTGACTGATGAGGACCTCACTGATCAGCATGGAAGGATCTATGACAGACCATCACTTTATGTGGGAGAGGAAAGGCACTTTATTGTACAGGAATTGCAGCCTAGGGATAGGAGCTTCTGGATAGATGTCTTGGCAAATGCCTTTTCCTGCCGGAAAAGTTTCGATCATGCAGGAGGCATGTTTGGAATAGCTGTAGTATTGCAGCTTCACGGAGTGACCAGGTTTGTCGTCCCCCATTAATGTGGGAATCCTCTTCAAAGTTCTTAATTACATCCTTAATTTTTTAAGGCAGTACTGTAGTGAGAAATAACATAATTCAAGGCTTGGTCCTGCATTTACCTATAGCAAGTCAAAGAAGGCTGGTGCAGTGACCCCAACACAATGTTTATGAGAGTCTTGTTCTCCTGGGCCATGTGTGCTTACAGGGAAAAAAGAGGTCATCCCTGGGACATCTAAATTAAGAGACTATTAAGAGTATCTTTAACGTGTTCTTAAACTTGGGGAAATAGTCTTCCTCGCACACCCCTGGGCCTCTGTTGGTGATCCAGACTTTTTTGTACCTATTTAGGTGACTTGACTAGGCTTTGCTGACAGTCACACCAGTGTTCTTTCTCACCTCTTTTGAGCAGCAGTATAATACAGAGGTTACCGACCTAACTCAGCCACTGTTGATCAGCAAAGGCAAATGGAAAAAGAGTCAACAGGACACACCCCATAAGCCTATAATGCTGGTTCCTGAGCTATGCTACCTGACAGGTACTTCAGATTTATGCAGTCCTCATAGAAGACCACCCCTTTCAAGCCCCAGATGTTATGATGTAGAAGTATAGGCTTCTCACAGTACTCCATAATGACCCAGAGCTGTGTTCTCTCCATCGGCTCTTCCTCTTCCAGATAAAACCATCAAGACTTCTTCACATATATATCTATTCTTGCTTGTTTAGCTATATCTTCTTAACTTTTTAAAGGTCTATCAGATAAAATGCGAAAAGACTACAGGGTGATGAGAGACTTGGCTCTTCATATGAGATTGGATCCAGAAAAAAGGCAGCACGAATTACGGAAACTGATGAATACTATACAAACGTAAGTCCTATTCTTCTCTCTGTGTGTTTGTGTGTGTGTCCGGAAGTTGAGACCCGTGCAGAACTCTTGATATCTCCGATTCTCCAACTAAAAAACAACAGGTTGGAAGAAAACGGCCTCTTGTGGGAACGACTCTATTTGTTTCATCGATGCAAAGTTAGAGGAGGTCTGGAGGGGAAGAACAAAATAGAAAGACCCTAAGCACAAATGTGAGAGTAAGGACATGAATTCAGAGTACTAGAGACCCTCTCTCTGCAACATGTCAATACAGAAGACAAACAACAAGGCATCTTAGATTAAAGGAGAATTTTGCAAATGGATCATTTTTGCTTATTTCCTTTGGTTCTATTCTGTGGAAATATTTTAACTTTCAGAAATAGGGAGGTACAACGGGAACTTCAACTCTGGGATTTGAAATTTGATACCAACTTCATGTCCTTCTCGGGAAGGATCTTGAAAGAAGTAAGAATTTTTCAAGGAAGAAGAGCGGTAAGACAGCTTCAAAATGGTCATGTTCTAGTTACTCTTGCAGTCATTTGGGGCCAAATGAATAATAATGCAGAGGAACTAAGTCAGGTCAGTAACTCACTGCTCTCTCTTCTTGGGCTGTTTGTCCTTTCTCTAGGGGAGAGCGAGCAGGTGTTCAATTAGAATGCATGTAACATCCTTGGCATATAGTAAACTCTATAGTTTACCTTGGTTGGTGTTGTGGACATCTCTCATGGCAAAACAATATGCCAAGTGTATCCTTAAGAGTCAAATAGCTAGAATCCAAACAATCCAGAGTAACCCATGATAGAATCCCAGTATTACTTACCACTATCTTAAGGAAAGAATATGTAATTCAGTTATGACCAAAGTTTAAAATTGTAATGTTTTGGTAGGAAGTAGCAAGAATTTGCAATAGAAAGGCTCTTTAATGTTATTTCTTTAAAAACTGAAGTCTTATACTATGTCTTCCAGTTTGACTCCCATCCACAGTTTGCAGATTGGTCGAGAGAGACCAGAAGTGGACCCTTACTCAATGTGAAGTCACTAGATCATTGGCTAATACTCTATCCTACGAGAAATTATGGAGCAGCCTCATCCTTAGTACAGAGTCTACGGAAAGTCACACCCACCATGGGCATAGCTATGAGAGAGGCAAAAATGTAAGTAGAGCTGAAATTAAGATCTATAACAACCGATCTTCAAATCGGAGGTAAAGTGGAGTCAGACGATATTAAATTATAGGAATTGGCCACTGTATTAAAACCCTGGAGGTTTGTAAACAAAAAAAAAAAGCCTAATCTATTCCAATTAACTGTAAAATAGGCTTTGGGGATATATAGTTTGTGGCTATTGGGATACATGCTGAGGAAGCCAAAAATTGAACTTATTTTTGTTTTAAGAACAAACTATCAGGGTACCTGGTGGCTCAGTCAGTTAAGCATCTGACTCTTGGTTTTGGCTCAGATCGTGCTGGGTGCTCAGTGGAGAGTATACTTAAGGGAGTCACACAGAGTGATCCTCCTTATGTGTGCATGTGCACAAGCTCTCCCTCAAATAAGTAAATCTTTCATGACCATTAGTTAAAAGTAGTTTGTTATTTTTTAAACATTGTACCTTGTTTTTATGTGGTGCTCCATTGGCTGCATAAAACGTTTGTTACATATTTACCTTTTGAATACAGATGATATATACTTATTTTCTAGGCTTGAAGTAAGTGATACAGTCCAGTCCTATACAACCGTCTTAGAAAATCATGTTACCTCCAAAACACAGATGGTAAGTTTCTATTTGATAGCACTTCCTTTTTTTTTTTTAAGATTTTATTTATTCATAGAGATGCAGATAGAGGCAGAGACACAGACAGAGGGAGAAGCAGGCTCCATGCAGAGAGCACGACATGGGACTCGATCCAGCGTCTCCAGGATCACACCCTGGGCTGTAGGCGGTGCTAAACCGCTACACCACCGGGGCTGCCCCCCCCCCTTTTTTTTTTACAAAGATTTTATTTATTCAGGAAAGAGACAGGAGAGACAGAAGCAGGCTCCATGCAGGGAGACCAATGTGGGACTCCAGGATCATGCCCTGGGCCAAAGGCAGGTGCTAAACCGCTGAGCCACCCAGGCGTCCCATTGACAGCAGCTTCCTGTCTTACTTTGTAGTGTTATAAATCTCACCTGTTAGATCTTGAGTGTCTACCACTCAAAATTAATCTCAAGCGCCCTTTCTTTGGCAGGGACTGGTCTTCAATTTCTGTCCTTTCCTGTCTCTGAGTCTGTCAGCCTGTTCATGGTCTCTGACCTTTCAGCCATGTTCACTGGAAAGTGGGCAGACACTTGGGAGAAAGTGGCCTCAATTGCTGAGCTCACCTTTCTGGGTCCCTACTTCTTTCCTGTCTTAAGCTAATAACTCTTTATGATCCTGTTAGACTGGCTGAGCCCCAAACAGGCACAGTCCCTGTGTTTTCATCACTTTGAACAGCTCTTCTTAGGAGGAGACTGCTTGCTATCCAGAAGCTGAAATTGTAGGATACATTAGCTGACCACTCTCTGAATGCTCAGAAATCATCACAGAAAAAAATTAGAATCTAGATTTTGCAATTGTACTTAAAAGCTTGACTTATTGAGCTATTAAAAAATTATATATGAGTGGAGGGGTGTGTGTGCGTGTGTGCGTGGGTGCGTGTGTGTGTGTGTGTAATCTGTACCCAAAAGATTATGTGTTTTAAGAAAAGCATATCTATAAGTTAGTTTAGCCTTCATCTTTAAGTGATCCCAACAGGCATGGAGAAATCCTAAGCCGATAATGGATTGGTGTCCTATCAAACACACACATCGACTGCAGTCTATTACAATTAGAAATCATTAAACCATATACATTCAAAAACCAAAGAATAACTTGCAAGTAGCAATGATATTAGAATAATATCAAAAGAAATTGAAAGAACTTAGATCCTAGAGGTAGTATGTATCAAAACCTGTGTAACAGCAAATAAACAGAGGACCTCTGGCCCTTGATGAATATATTGGGACTGAGGTGAGAATCTTTTTTTTTTTTTTAATTTATTTATTTTAATCAGAGAGAGAGACTGAGAGGCAGAGACACAGGCAGAGGGAGAAGCAGGCTCCATGTAGGGAGCCTGACATGGGACTCGATCCCGGGTCTCCAGGATCATACCCCAGGCTGCAGGCGGTATCAAACCACTGCGCCACCGGGGCTGCCCATGAGGTCTGAATCTTAATGCACTAAGCACAGTGAACCAAAACAAAGTAGAATGAAATAAACAAAAAGCAGAAACTAAACAGAATGGCAAATCCAAAGCAAAAATGTTAAAACTTGGTGTTGTCAAGATTGAAGAAAACAGTCTGAGGGAAGCTTAGCAACATTAAGAACAAGGAGAGTTCATGATTAACAGATTTGCTAGAGGTTAAAGAAATATTAGGAGATGGGGCACCTGGATGGCTCGCTCAGTCAATTAAGTGTCTGCCTTCAGTTCAGGTCATGATCCTCAGGTCCTGGGATCGAGTTCAACTTCAGGCTCCCTGCTCAGTGGGGAACCTGCCTCTTTCTCTTCCTCTCCTCCTGTGATAGCTCTCATTCTCACTCTCTATCAGATAAGTAAATTAAAAATCATAAAAAAAGTAGAATACAATGGGCCTAGGGTTGACAGTAAGCTGAAGTGCAATCTTTAGAAAAAGAAACAGTGTGGTGAATTATAGGAAAAATAATTGCAAATGAAATGTAAAAAAAAGGTACAAAATGCATTTGATAGAATTCCACATTCATTCATGTGAAAAGAAAATTTTAAAATGAGAAAGGAATTTCCCTAGTCTGATTGAGGATTATCCCCAAAAAATCTTCCTAGAAGCATCATCATGTTAGAAATAATACATTGAGGATCTTCCATTATAGTTAGAAAGCAGCCAAACAGTAATTGCTCTTTTCTATGATCCCATGTCCTGTTGGAGGTCTGAGCACGTGTTAGAAATCTTGCCCTGCTGCCTGTACATCAGACAGTTTCCATAACTCCTGAGCTTATTTGCTTAGGGGTAAAATGGGGATACTGGTCTTGATCTCAGTAGGTTATTGAAGAATTAACTGAGTCAAGTACAATGCTTGGCAAGTGCTCTCACATAGCATCCATCATGTAAGTGGGGACTTTCCTGATGATGGTACATTTCAGTCTGTGCTTGTTAACCCTCTGTGACAACTTCATGATGAACTCCTAGAAACAGAATAGCCAGGACGTAAAGACTTTGCAAGTGCAAGTGATTCATGCATATTGCCGGTGCCTGGCTCCTAGGCTCTTTCTTCTTCCATATGCTCACCTTCGCCATTATTGAATGGAATGGGATTCCAGACCCTTTACCCTCCTGGGCCAGCTGTGGATTGAATGAACAGACTCTGTTCCTCCACCTAGGTAGTTTGCTTGACGTGACATCCACTTCTCCCATTACTGTGGTTTCATGTCCTAGGTAGTCTTGTTGTTGCTTTCTCTCAAGGTCCTTTGCGTGCTGTCCAGTGAAAAGAAAGACCTGTATGATGGCATAAAACAATACCTGTGTGTCAATTGTCCGACCCCAAGCCAGTGTGTCGTGGCACGGACCTTAGACAAACCCCAGACGCTGATGACCATTGCGACAAAGATTGCCCAGCAGATGAACTGCAAGATGGGAGGAGCCCTCTGGAAGGTGGAGACAGGAGTACGTTGGATTTCATTGCCTTCTCTTTATTTCACTTGTGTTCAGTGGAATTTAAGACTCAACCATCTTAAACGCAATTGCTTAATTGTGCTTCTATTGTGTTCTAACTCAATGTCTTACCTTTCTTAAAAAATTTCAGTTACAGAATGCGATGTTCATTGGTATCGACTGTTTCCATGATATTGTAAATCGGCGGAAGTCAATTGCAGGCTTCGTGTCCAGCATCAATCAAGAATTGACGCAGTGAGTGGGCTTAGGCAGACATTGTGTAGATGGCAACTAGCTGTAGACCAAACAGGAGAGGTGGGCCTAACTAATGTTTGTTGACAAGGGCCATGGACAGGGTATTCTCTCCCTCTTCTGGCAAAGTTATGCTCCAAATACATTTGATGTGGAGGGATCTATATCATTTTTCTGTTGCTGCTTAACAGATGATGACAAACATGGCAGCTTAAGAGGACACTCCTGTGTCTGCGCGTAGGTCTGTCAGGCAGCCATCAGGTTGGCCATGTTGGCCAAGCCACATTCTCCTCTGGAGGCTTGAGGTCCTATTGCAAGTGCACATACTTTTGGCAGAATCTTTTTGTTTTGTTTTGTTTTGTTTTGTTTTTGTTTTTGTTTTTGTTTTTGGTAGATGAAGGACAGAGGCCCCCATTTCCGTGCTGGCTGCCAGCTAAGGCCTGTCTCAGCTCCTGGGACTTCATCCATATTCCTTCTCAAATGCCCTGCTCCCCCAGAGCACACAGTCCTTGTTCTGCTTCAAATCTCTCTTCCCCCTTCTGCTATCTTGCTTTTTCAGGGGGTTATGAAATTAGATAAGGTCCATCTGGAAAATCTCCCCTAAAGCCAACTGTGACATAGGACATAATCAGAGGGGCGATACAATAGTCACAGATTCCAAGCATTAGATTTCTGCTCACTAGGGGCTCTGACAATCAGTGAGTCTCCCCATTAACACATGGGGAAGGACTCAGACCCCACATGGGGAAGACAGACCTAGGAATACAATCAGAAGCCTATAGGTACAGGATCTGCTCTTCACAGATCTATATGTAATGGATCTGCTGAAGAAGATATGCTTCCATATCTCATGTTTCTCCCTTGCTCCAGGGATACTTTTGTTTTCTGTGCTTAGAGTAGAACCTACCTTCAAAGGAGTTTGCACATTCTTCAGTTTAGTTTCTTGAGCATTAGCATGTGTATGACCATCACCAATCACTGTTATGCTTCCTGAGGATTGTGGCCCCCTAGGTATAATTACAGAGTATTCTTTAAGGGGGTCCATTTTTATTTTCATGAATGGCATCAATTATTCCAGTCTAGTTCCAGTTCTAGTTTAATATAATATTGGTTTGCTTTTTTGGTGGGAGAGCATGTGGAAAATAATGTTTCAATCATGGGAAGAAATTAAGCTCTCATTCAGTTCATTTTTTAATTTTTAATTATTTAAATTGGAGTTCAGTTTGCCAACATATAACACCCAGTGCTCATCCCGCCAAGTGTCCCCTCAGTGCCCATCACCCAGTCACCCCAACCCCCCCCACCTCCCTTTCCACTACCCCTTGTTTCCCAGAGTTAGGTGTCTCTCATGTTTTGTCACCCTCACTGAGATTTTCACTCATTTTCTCTCCTTTCCCTTTATTCCCTTTCATTAATTTTTATATTCCCCAAATGATTTCATTCAGTTCATGAATAATGTCGAAACCTTGCTTTTTGGCACAACATTTCCACTGCTCTGTTCTCAGCATTTGAACATACCATGATTTCATCTTGTAGACTGTAAATTCTGGAAAAGAAGCAGACAAATGTATTATATCATGTCAGGTCATTGTAATACTTAGAAGCAATTAAAAAAACAGGGGATAGAAACTTGAGACCAGTATTGTTTGATCTGTTGGGAAGTGGTCAAGTAAAAACTACTGTTCCAAAGCAGCTGGTTCCCTCAAACCATGATTATGGATGAACCATTGTTTAAGACCTCAGCCTGAAAGTGGCAATCTCCAGGAACACTGGTTATTTATTTTGGGTGTCCACCATGAGACGGCAGTAGTCCTGCACATTGAAAGTGCGTGTAATTTGTACCAATGTTAGTGAATGCTTCCATATTCCTATTTGTGTGCATTCACAATTTTAATGAATGCCTAGGGTACTGGAAGAGACCAATGCTTCGATCTCTGCAGAGGCATCAAAGAATGGATTCCTGATTGGATCTTCAGCTACCCATAGTGACTCCCGCTTCCCCCCCACCAGAGGTCCTAGATTAACTCAGGATGAAAAATAATGGAATTTTAAGACTCATATCTCAAACTGACAGCTTATTTTTCTCCAAACAAGGTGGTTCTCTCAGTGCATTTTCCAGGAATCGGGGCAGGAGCTTGTGAATGGGCTGAAAACCTGCTTGGAAGGTTAGTGTCCCATCAAGATTGGTGTGCCTGACTCCATCTGGGTAGTTGTCTGCCAGCGGACACACTGGCCCCCAGAGATGTCTGGCAATGCCTAGAGATGCGCTCTATTGTAACAGCTGGGATGGAGGTGCTACTGGCCTCCAACTAGCGGGTAGAGACCAGGCATGCTACAGAGGACAGCAACACCCATTCTGCCCCCACAAAGAATTATCTGGCTCAGAATTTCTGTAGTGGTGCTGTTGAGAAATGCTGAGCTCATGTGAAGACCAAAAAGCAGTGAATGTGTCCTGGAGGCTACAGTATTGAAAGAACATGAACCTAGAAGCTGTTACAAATAGCAGTGGCCAGTTGGTTCTGAGTTACGGCTTATTCACCCGTGTTTCTGGTTTCCTTCCAGCTGCCCTGAAGCTCTGGTGTAAACATAATCAGTTTCTACCACAAGCTATCATTGTGTATCGGGATGGAGTTGGGGATGGTCAGCTTCAAGCACTGATGGATCATGAAGTCCCACAGATTGAGTCCTCCTTAAGATCTGTGTACCCTAAAGACTCTGGGTATATAAATTGTAAAGTGCGGATTGTGTAAACTCTACATTTCAGTCTCTGAAAGGAATATCACAGTTATGATCTGTGAATTAAGAGAGAGAGCATGGCACAGAGGGTATCAGTTGCTGGATGGGGAATTCATTCTTTGACTTTCTGGTCCACACCCAAGTCAGAGGACAGAGCAGAACTAGAACATTCCTGATTGTGTTCTCCCCATGGAATCCCCTAAGAACCTGTTCCTTTTTTTCTAATCTCCCTGCAAGCCTTGATGTAGGAGGGCTTGTTAAGCTCAGGTACTTATTAAAATCCATAAACACAGCCTGGTGATGGTTTGTGTTTAGGAAACTTCTTTATTCTGGAGTTTTGTAGGTCCTGGGGCTGGGGAATGCCTCTCCTCTGCCTCCTCTGCTTGTCACTGGGGCCTGGTTCCCACCACAGATAGGAGCAGCCCCAACCTTGTGAGGAAGTTCCTCCCCCTAAGATGTGAGTGGCTGTGAATAGAAACCTCTCTTACTGCTTAGGTCAGGCTCATGGAGCTAGGACAGTAAAGTTGGTGTGTGGGGGGACTATACCTTCCGCAGATTCTTCTTAAGGAATCCTGTGTGTGTGTGATGCTTCAATACTCTGAATGCCTCTAGGACAACAGTACATCTGGTGACACCTGTCATTACTTTTAAGGGTCAAACTAACTTTCATTGTGGTGAAGAAACGAATAAACACCAGATTTTTTGTGGAGTCTCAAGGAAGACTTCAAAACCCACTTCCAGGAACAGTTATTGATGTGGAGGTGACCAAGAGGCAATGGTAAGCCCCCCCCCCCACTTTATTTATTTAGAGATTCTCTTTTATTCAAATAGAAATAGAAACTTTTTTTAAAGGTTTGCATGGTTTGGTGGAGAATAGATTGACCTAAAGACGGTTTAAAAATTACACGAACAGATACACATGGGATTCTAGAGGTTTCCATCTTTTTCTAGAGGTTTCTATCCTTTTTCTTCTCTTAGAATTTAAGCCTATATTGTAAACATACTGAGATTCTTCAGTTGTTAGGAGCAATGGTAGAACTTCTGGTCAAGCAAAGATTTGTCGATTGTGCAAATGAATTAATGTAGAACCCTGGATGGGAAATGAAACAGGACCTTCATACCAGCAGACAGGGAGCAAGGAAGGAAAGACAAGCATCGATCAATCTAGTAGAAGACAGGAAAAGGGATAAAGGAAAAAGCAGGTGGGAAAGTAAGATTAACATAAAGAATAGCCTAATACACATAAGAAATCCGGTATCTAGGGAACCCTGGGTGGCGCAGCGGTTTAGCGCCTGCCTTTGGCCCAGGGTGCGATCCTGGAGACCCGGGATTGAATCCCACGTCGGGCTCCCGGTGCATGGAGCCTGCTTCTCCCTCTGCCTATGTCTCTGCCTCTCTCTCTCTCTGTGTGTGTGTGACTATCATAAATAAATAAAAATTTTTTAAAAATCCGGTATATACAAGAACCTGGTGGATCTTACCAATTCTATTAGGGGGTTTGAATGGGTTCCGTTGATCCTCGGGGAGGGGCATAAAGCATCCATCCCTAGAACTCTGAGTTGAGTTTCCCTGTGGCCAGATCCAATGTGTCAGTTTCAAGTTTCTGCATCAAGGCGTCAGGGCAGATGCTTCTATAGAAATCTCATGAGCATTATTACATGGGTCAGTGGTTGCATTGCCCTTTATGGACTTGCTTTCCCAAATCCTCCCCCCACAGTTAAGCAGGCTTCTAAGTATAAAGGAAACTCTGTACAATGGATTTCTGTCCATTTGTGTCACATCAGATAGTAGGTTTGCAATATTCTTTTTCTTCTGAAAATAATCTATAGTCTATATTCATGTGTTCTGTGATTCCAGGTATGATTTCTTTATCGTGAGTCAGTCTGTGAAAGACGGTACTGTCACTCCCACTCATTATAATGTCATCCACGACACGGTTTGCTTCACCCCAGATAGGATACAGTATCTCACTTACAGACTATGCCACATGTATTATAATTTGCCGGTAAGTATTTTTATATGGATTTCCCTTTAGATCTCAAAAGATTGTTCAACATTAAATCTATACTTTTTGAGCCTTCTGAATTGATATCTCTGAAACATTAAATTTAGATAGAAAGTTTTAAAAAAAATCTTTGTTCTTCTTCTTTCTGCTGAAGGGTGTCATTCGAGTTCCTGCTCCTTGTCACTATGCCCACAAACTGGCTTACCTTGTGGGCCAGAGTATTCATCAAGAACCACACCATTCCCTGGCAAGCCGTCTCTTTTACCTGTGACTAAGAGAAGAAAGCCTGATGACATGTTGAAAACCAGCATTTGTAAATTTTTTCTTTTTAAGCTGTACTTCTGAAATGCCTTCCTAGATGCATAGTTATATATATGTATATATAAAATTTTTTTTGAGAGAGAGAATGAACAAACTGGGAGGGGCAGAGAGTGAGGGGGGATCAGATAGAATCCCAAGCAGGCTCCCACTCTTAGCCTGGAGCCCAATATGCGGCTTGATCTTATAACCCCATGATCATGACCCGAGCGGAAATCAAGAGTTGGACGCTCAACTGACTGAGCCACCCAGGTGCCCCAAGATGCATAGTTTTAAATTCTAATCATTCTTGATAGCACATGGAGATTCAGAGTGGTGTGTGCTTTTGTCACTACTACCACTGACTTAACATAACCCTTCTAGTTTCCAAGCAGGAAAATGGACCACGGGGGCTGTGTCTTTCAACTCAACCTTTGAAATGTGTTACCATGACTATGATTGACCACACTTGACCATGTGGTACTTTAAGCAAGCTACTCCACTCATCGTTGAGATTGGGCATTAGTCTCATGAACAAGTAGACTGGAAAAATGACATTTTTTTTAAATGACATCTTTATGAAACCTTCATGTTTAAAGGGACAGGAACGCTCTAAAAGGCAAAATGAAATGATTTATTTGCTACCTAAAACTTTGTAGGAAAGGAATAACCTATGTATGTAGTATTGTTTATTCTTCAGGGTAGGGTGGAAATTTGAATGTTATCTTTGGTGGAGCTGTAATAAGGAGAGCCTTGCAGTTTAAGAATTGGCAGTTCTTGGAACACTGAAATTTCACTTTTTCTACAAAGAAGGGAAATGTAGAGTTCTATTAGCACTTCTGTTTCATTCATTCTCTTGTCTGTGTTCCAAATGTGACATTACTGTAAGTAGTGCCATAATCAGAAGAGTCTTGAATAATTTGTTAAAATGCAGCTGTTATGTCTTCTGAAAACTGATACTTCCCCCCCCCCCTCGCTTTTTAAAACTATCTTTAAATAGATTCAGGAAACAAGATGTAAACCTTTGTTTTCTTACACTCCCAAATAAAATAGTATTTTGGTGACTGGCAGGGAGTAGATCAGCTTCAGGGATCCCAAAAAGGGTATGTTTATAAACAGTATAATTGCTTTGATAAGTCAGTCAATTTAGGTTTGCAATTTGAACTAGCCTTATGAGAAATAAAAACAAGTCATTTAAAAACATAATGTAATCCAGGTAACTTCTTAACTACCAGAACTGGCCTCATAATGATAAATGGAATACTGATGGATCCGTAATTAAAGATAAGGCAACATGTTCTTTTCTGATGGTAGAATTTAACTTGTGATAATATATTCCTAGAGATCTATAAAGATATAGGAAGGAACAAATTCGGGATACCTGAGTGGCTCAGTGGTTGAGCGTCTGCCGTTGGCTCAGGGTGTAATCCCGGGGTCCTGGGAACGAGTCCCACATCGGGCTCCCTGCATGGAGCCTGCTTCTCCCTCTGCCTATGTCTCTGCCTCTCTCTCTGTCATAAAGAAAGAAAGAAAGAAAAGAGAAAGAAAGAGAAAGAAAGAAAGAAAGAAAGAAAGAGAAAGAAAGAAAGAAAGAAAGAACAAATTAAAATGGTTACTAAAACTTTCTGAATGTTTCCCATATGTACAATATAAATCATTAACACGATAGAAAAACTTCTAGATTTACACATTTATAATGATGATGTGATTTAATGAAGGTCTTCATGTTAAAATCATTGAATCAGGGATCCCTGGGTGGTGCAGCGGTTTAGCGCCTGCCTTTGGCCCAGGGCGCGATCCTGGAGACCCGGGATCGAATCCCACGTCGGGCTCCCTGCATGGGGCCTGCTTCTCCCTCTGCCTATGTCTCTGCCTCTCTCTCTCTCCCTGTGTGCCTATCATGAATAATAAAAAAAAATTATAAAAAGAAAATCATTGAATCAGGTCTTGTTATTTTAAAAACCTATTCTGGTCTTCAGTCTCCTTAATCTACAGACTAGGAAAAAAAACACTTGGTTTTCTAAGATACATGGAAATATTTTTGTGACTAAAGCACTATCTGAATTTATTCCCCCCTTACTAGCACTTTATAAATTAGGGGAAGGTGGCTGATAGTCAACATTTCTAGGAGAGAGCCTGATCGTCCCAAAGGTTTATAAACTATATTTCTATAATGTATCCTAGTGCCTAGTTTCACATTGCTTGAGTAGGTTGAGAAACATTTTTTTCAAGATTTTAATTTATTCATGACAGAGAGAGAGCCACAGCCACCTGGGCTGCCCTGTTGAGGAACTAATTAAAGATCTTTCAGGAATGGATTTGGCCAACTAGCAATGGATTATATAAGAAAAATGAACTGCCAGAGTTGTGAACAGATATATATATATGTATCAAACCTCCTACTGAGCACAGTTCAGAGACCAGGACAAAATTCCAGAAAAGGATGTTGAACAGCTTTGAAGATAGGGCGAGGCACAGAAGAACATAGCACCAATATCTAGTGTAAGGAAATCTAGAGCGATGACCCTGTTTGTTACGATCTTTACCAACTGCTGTTGGAAATCATGTTGGCTTTCATCACTGTCATGTTACCTGCAGATTCTAAGAGTCCATCATTGGGTTGACAGTCTTAATTTTTATTTTACTGAGAGTCTTTATCATGAATGGATGTTGAATTTTGCCAAATGCTTTTTCTCTATCTGTTGAAATGATGGTGATAATTCAAGTCTATCACTATGGCAATGCCTGTATCAGTTTTCTTTGCTGCTGTAACTGATTACCATAAACCTAGCACCTGCGGACCTCACAAATGTAATATCTTAGTTTTGTAGGTTAGAGGTCTGGCGTGGGCTAAAATAAACAGGTCAGCAGTGTGTTTCTTTCTGGAGGTGCCGGGAGAGAAGGCATCTCCTTGCATTTTCCACCTTCTAGAGGCTGGCTGTATTCCTTGCCCCGTGACCCCTTCCACCTTCAAAGCCGGCAGTGGCTGATGAATTCCCCTGTCCTTTCTAACACTGGCCCTTCTTCCCCACTTTTTCTTTTTTTTCTTTAAAGATTTTATTTATTTATTCGAGAGAGAGAGTAAGGCGGAGACGCAGGCAGACGGAGAAGCAGGCTCCACGCAGGGAGCCCGATGTGGGACTCGATCCCGGGGCTCCGGGATCACGCCCTGAGCTGAAGGCAGACACTTAACGAGTGAGCCACCCAGGTGTCCCCTTCCCCACTTCTTTTAATGACCCTTGTGATGATGGTGGGACCATTGGATAAGCCAGGATCATGTCCCTATTTTGTTAGGTGATGCGCAACCTTAGGTCCGTCCGCAGTTTTCCTTTCTAAGAAAGGCAGAGTGCCACACGAAGTGCTTCATTTGGACGTGTCTGGAGTCTCGGAAGAACACAGGAAGGACTACCCTGTGTTCTCGTGCAGAGGGACCTTGTGATCTTGTTTGGAGGTTCTAGCGGGGGAGCACAGCTACTCCTATACCCTCTTTTTTTTTTTTTTCTACTCCTGTAGCCTTGCTGAAAGAACAGTCCTCCATGGGGGAAGGTCGTCCTCTCCCACCAAGCGCACAGCTTCCCTAGGGATGCATATGGAGCAGTGCGGCTGGAAGGGGGCACCTGCCTAGCCAGCCAGATCCGTGGAATCATCAACCTTGGTGATCAATGGGTGACAGAGGTCCCAGCCAGATTGCCCTCACAGCCCAATCTGCAACTTTATTTATTTATTTATTTTTTAGAAAGATTTTGACACAAAGAGAGCACAAGTAGGCAGAGGAAGAATCAGGCTTCCCGCTAAGCAGGGAGCCCAATGTGGGGCTCAGTCCCAGGACCCTGGGATCATGACCTGAGCCGAAGTCAGCCTAACCAGTTGGTTAGCCACCTGGTTGGCCACCCCAGTGCCCCCCACCACCCCCAAATCTGCAACTTTAATTATCCTTCCTCATGTAAGGCAACATCTGGGCAGATTCTAAGGATTAGAACAGGAGCATCTTTTTGGGAAGGTGGGGAGGGGCAGAGGCATTATTCTGCCTCTGAGACCTTGCCCAGGAGTGTCAGGGTGCAAGGACATATTTGAATGTAGGAACCCCTCCCTCCATAGGGATCTAGGGAGAGAAGAGCGACTTGGGGGAGCCCCCTGCTGGAGGCTCAGAGGACAGAACCCTTAAGTGCCTGCACTGGGTCCAGAGCTCCTTCCCGCCTTGTCACCCTCACTCTGCACTGGTGACAGCTGAGCTGCCCCAGGGTGGAAGTTTTGTGGGAGACCCCTCAGCTCTGCCCCACTCCCTCACTCACCCAGGTGTCTGTTCCAGCCGTTCCTTCCCCTGCTGGGGTCTGTGGCCCAGGCAAGGGCTGACTCAGCCACCCCCGGTGTCCAAGAGCCCAGGACAAATGGCCACCATCGCTGGCACTGGAAACAGCAACGGCATGGGCAATCAGGGAGCACCTTGGCTGCAGCCACCCCCCGGGGCAGTGTTCCCAAATTGCTGATCCACAGAATTGCAACGGACTCCTAGGGATCTCAGAATGATTCTTGGGTTCCAGGTCATGCAGCCTGGGCTCTTTGGGTTCTAGTCTGGCCATGAGGTTGGTTGTTACCTCTCGTGTCCGGACAGCTGCTTGGTGTCTGTGTTTTGCTTGAGGCCCACGGGAGAAAAAGACAAAAAACCTGTGGGCTGCTCGTACTTACTGCCCACAGCCTATCTCATCCCCATCGCTCAGTGGGCAAGTGGTGGCTGCTGAGTTCAGGGGAAGTGTCCTGGGGGGGGGCGTGTCATGCTTGGCCTTCTGGTCCCCTGGCACGGGGTTTGTTGCTGCACCCCCTTTCCTAAGGTCCTGAGTATGATCTGCTGACTCAGCGGTCCTCACCGCCTGGGGCTCTTGCTCAGAGGATCCCTCCTTCCAGCCCTGGAAGCATTGGTGTGGATTATGATGTTAGTTCCTGAAACCAGCTTCTCTCATGGAAAGGACCCCCTCT